TCTATAAATTTTGTCGCTATTCCTGATATCCGTATTCATTCTAGTGCGAAAATGAGATACGTCTTTTCGGAATTCTCATTTGAAATATGTCTGGATATGGTACATTTTGATGAGTGATTGCCTGAATTTGTTTGCGATCTGGATGATTGTAGTGGAATGAATTTTGGGTAGGTGTCGTTTGGTTGGATGAAATTAATTACTATTGTTTAAACGTTATTTGCAAATATTCATTTGACTGGTTGACAGTTGACAGGCTTCACTGACCTTTTTGTTCATTGATTTCATTTTCATATACACAGAACAGAGCTGTACTTTCATTATTGAGGATTTTATGAGTAGATAATGGTTTATTGAGTAATTGCTTGATTGATTGAGTGTGCTATTATCATCTGTTTGCGTTGGTTCTCGAGATGCTATAGCTTGATGGTTGAAGAACTGGGATATGATGGAGCTGGTATGAGAGGATGAGAAAGTGCGGAAATGGCGTGAATATGGCGTTGATGCTGAAGTCAGTGAGTAGAGATCTGACTTGATTAGTTGCAGATTTAGTGATTGCTGCAGAAAAAAAACCTAAGAACCGCACCGATTATTTTTTANACGAGTAGATTCATTTTGAGTAGATTTTTGATTTTTGAGTAGATTCATTTTTCGACTGACAATGCCAGAAATATGCATGCGGACATTCAGCGAAACAAAGTATCAAGTATGATATCTGAACATTATAACACTTAACTGCACTACTTGGAAATAGTATGAGGGCATCAATAAAATTTTATGTCTATGTGTAAATGAATGTGTTTATATAATGTGAATACATAAAAGTTTTATCAAAATATGAAATGAATCACTCAAATTAAAAACGATGACGAAGGTGATTAAAATTCATGAATACCCTTATTGCGAGAGAATAAGATAAGTAAGTAATCATTATATGGATACGTATGAAACGAAATCATTAAATCATACTTACGATTAATTATATCAATAATAGTGGTGATGAATCGAAAGGCAAGCGCTCTACACTCATATATTCTATCATTCATATAAGTTTCCAAGAAATGTCATCGTTCAAACGCGAGCAAGGCTATATGTAAGTCCCTATGTCGTTCATTAAACATAATGAACAATCCGAGAAAACTTCCGTGAATTCTTTGCGAATTCAGCAACAATGCCAGTTTAATGTTTTGATTGCGTAGAAAAAAAAAGCCGAACTGACAAAAAAATTACCGATTGCAGATCATAAAATTGCACCAATGTTTTAACCAAATAAAAATCTTTTGATTTCGGAGCGATTTGTAGCAGTCTCTGAACTTTTATGCATGTCCTAGATTCGGATAAAGTATTGTTGAATGCTTGTGCGCTTGCTTTTCGTTTGAGTTGGACGCAAGATCGCTGAAGTCATTCGTGGAGAGGGCAAAAGAGTTCGAAGTGTGTGCAGACGAGTAAATGCTCGTAATCAGTTTGCTCAGCCAACATCATTTCACATAGTCATAGTCATATTTTGGTCATCATTCAAAGAAACTCTATGAAATACAGTTAAAACATATGTATGTATATGAATAATGAAATTCATCGAAACGACAGTGAATAAATATATTATAATAATCTAAATAATAAAAACCATGTGAACAACGACAAACAAAATGTACAAATTTGGTTTCCAAATGAGATCATTGAAGGGAAAAGAACCAACAACAAACAAAAACAACAAACAAGAAAGTGCAATTATGAATAATCTATAATCGAATACTTCAACGAGGCTGTTGAATGTACTGGAACCAACTGAGTAGTTGCACTGATCAATTGAATGTATTGACTGGCCGTATAGTTCCAAGAATGAATGCGGATGAGATTCATGCAGCAGAAAATGGCGAGATTCATACAGAAAAGCGAGATTCACAGAGGAAGTGATGGTCAATGGTCATTGTTTAACTCACTTTTTGCTCATGGAATTCAGCAAGTGGTTTCTAGAGTCTTAAAATACGCTCTGTGTTCAGCATGTCCACTTATGCACTCATAGAAATGCCATTGAGACAGTGAAGGATGAAGCGGAATGTGAAAAGATTAGATATTTGAATGTAGAACAGTGAAAATATGAAGGAACAAGCTCGTTTCGATTGATTCTGTTCTTGACCGAAGGATTCTGTTCTTGACCGAATGGTTCATCACAATGAGTTATCTTCTTTTAGAGCCGTCAGATAAGTGGAGAATGTTGTCGCACTATTGCAACGATCGTAATTGCACACGCAACGGAACATGAACTCTGCACTCGATCCTAATCCACTGAATTTCGGAGCGAGCACTCCGAAGTCATATTTCTGAAATGTTCACACTTTAAATCTCTGCCATCTCAAAATTGTCACTCCAATGTTTGATCCAGATCATCGTGATCAGATTATCATTTGTTGAATGTTTTTGTACCCATTGATAATCATAAAATCAAGCATGCTTAGAGCTGTTGCGAGCGAGCGAGAGAGCGAAACATTCATCATGTCTCGTCAAAATCTTTCCTTTTTTTTGTTTCATTCCATTAGCCTTCAACTCGCTTTCAGTTGTTTTTCTTGAACGATTGCATCAGAAATATCGGTTGCATTTTTCGATTCAGTCCGATGATGATAGAACACAATGACTAATTGATATTGCTATCTTTATTTTTTTTTTGCTCAAATTGAATGACCGAAAATCTATTTGGAGTGCACTGAAACGCTCGACGATGCAACAAAAAAAGTGCACTTGTCTGTTGTATCAGTGATGGTTGAAGTTTAATTGCGCATAATGAATAGCAGCACCATCATGCCGTATTTAATGCATCGTGCTCAAATTGCAAGTTTTGAATTTTTTGCACATCATCCCTTTCCGAGTTATGAAATTGTATCCTACCCATTTCGAAACAGCAACAGAGTAGCCAATGACGACAACAGCGATATTAATTAACCGAATCGCGGTAATAATCAAACTAATTGCTGCTATTATTGTTATGACGATCGCCGATATTCAGTGAAACGAGCTGAAATTATATGAACGAACTTTTGCTTACCTCAAGAACGCATACTGTGAGGATTTTGTAGACTTTATCTGAGAGTGCAAAGGTGTGATCGTAGGCTTCGGTCAAGTCCGATGACGGACCCACACCGAAGACACGTCCTGAATTGGGTCGTACGCTGGTTGCCGGTATCAACACACAATAGTTCCACGTACTGTTCGTTACCTCGTAAATTCTACCCTTAAAATCATATGGTTTATTAGAGGTTAGTAATTTCACAGAGGCACTCATTCTGCTTGCTCGGGGTTTTTATTCCATGATCAATTGTTATCGGAAGCAGAGAATACGACTGCTGTTTGAACTCAAGAGTTTAATTTTTCGCTCTGTAGATAATTTTCTGTCAGAAAATAACACCTGCAGAACGTTGTATTTTCTTAATTATGAATTCTTTGGGCATTCCTTCCGAACAACAACATTGCCTTCATTGAAGCTGTACTGGATCTGATCAGAAGCAGATCCAGTAGAAGGAGAATGAAACTATGAAGATGAATAAGATAAAGAAATTGAATGAAAAAACAAGTGAAAATGCAGGCTCAGATTGAGTAATGATAAGTTAAGCTGCTAAGATGTATTTTAGTCATGCTGACGGTGCATTTTATTTGCCTCTGCAGTAAAGTATGGAAACTTGAATTATCTACTGGATTGATGCATTGATGGTCTACTTCTTTGCGATTCTTTCCGATAGCTGGACCAAATTTGATTTTCATTTTATCACACTCATCGATGCATTTGAATTGATATCTGCCAACTTCACTAAGATTTGAACGAATAATGCTCTTCTTGTTTTTACTCTACTTTTTTCTTGAAAAAGCGATTGATTAATTCACTTTCATAAACCTCAATGACGAGATAATATCAAGTTTTTTTTTTACGCCTACAGAGTAATGAGAAGAAGGTTGATTTTCCGCATTGACTGACTATTCCTCATCGTTTGAGGTTTGCATTTTCGTTTCGAAGAAGGAACAAAATGAGAGTTTGCACCAGCACACATACAAGTTACTTCTGAACGGATGCTGTCGTACAAGCCGTTGGGTGCAAAGAATTCGAAGTGATCTATGCACAATAAGAGATCACTAAAGCTAAGAACTAATCCAATTGTAGTGATTAACGGCAGTAATTCAGTGAGTAAAGTAATTCTATCCTCTAATTATTTTTATCGTTCATAATCATATTATAGTTATTGCGTCAGTAAGCCTATAAGAAGTATTCTAATAGAGACTTGAAACGTTTCTGTTGGTAGTTATGATTTGATTTGCGGATAATCATTTGTAAGGAGCGAATTTGTGAGATTGTCACATAAAGATCATCACCATCTATCGGAATGGTCACAAAAGAAGTTTCTTTTTGATTTAGCACTATTGCAGACAGTCGACAAATGTAACGCACTGAAACGCACATTATTCATTCATATTAATTCGTATTGTGATGATTGATAAGTTTAAGATGTGTGTTAGATGATAAGGACGGTGATGATGACACAACGTGATAATATGCGATATGATATAAGTTAACGTCAATGACACATCCATCAAACCTTTAATTATTTATACCTATTGTGAATGTGATATGGCAAGATCAGAGCGATCGGAACTTAGAACAAATCGTTTAAGAAGTGCTCTGCGTAGCACATTGTGAGATAACACAAACGGTAGCCAGAAGTGTGATTGTTAGATTTCGTGGGTTTGAATTNGCAGAGTATAAAGATCAAGAACTCACTTCGTCGTCGTTTTCGTAGCAAGTCAACGCCTCAGCGTGACTGTAGAGTTGTGCAAGAATGAAGGTGATCAGCACAAATGAATATGGAACTGTAGAGAGGAGACCAGGGAACATGTTTCAAGTTTTGTATAATCCAACAAGTTAAACAAGTTTATTTCTTGTTCAGTTATCACTGATGATAATGGCGTTGATTAGTTGACTGACTATCTGCGTACTGGATGTGACCTGCTAAGGCCGGATATTCAACTGATAACAAGAGTGATAATAATATTGCTCTTATCAGTTAGTGGTTCAAAAGACCGTGGCGACAACCGTTTGACGAATGATTGCTCGCGCTCAGTGAAGGAAACGGTGCTTTCGAGGATCTTTTCAAAAGGGTTCCTGAGGGGCGTGGCAGGCAGCAGTCATTCGAACGGCTTCGTTATCCGAACGATTCGCCCGCCCCGAAATGCCCTGAGACTCCGCCTGAATTATGCGATGGTTAACGGATATACATTTGTGTTTAATCTGCATCTTCATCCTCATTTGTTATCATTTTAAATGAACACGAATCGTTGTGGTCATGATTTTGACTGAGACCGAATCATGAGTACTCACTATTCGGCTATGGCTTATCAATGTGCGACTAAGTAGGTGATTGGAACTGCATCTGTACGCATCACGCTTGAGAAGTCAGCACTTTGCCGACACGTCTTCAGATGCAAAGTAGGTTGCCGGCATCAACCGTAGTGAAAATGCAGCAGAACGCATCAAATACAGCAAAG